ACACACACTGAAATACATTGTTCAATTGAATAAAATCTTTATATGAGGTAGGAAGACAACACAGGCTTGCAGTTCCCTTTGATTTACTTCTAAACCCATGAAATAAGTCCAAAACTATTTACCAAGCAGTCCTTTCAAAAACATGGTTTATATTTTGGAAAATGAGGTCTAAATTAACATTTAATTTGAGCTGATGGAATCAATTTTCCCTTTTGTAGGACAAATGCATACCATCGTTCGGGTTTTTTCAACATTTTTATGGGCTCAATTGCATCAAGTTTCAATATGTCTGATTACAGCAAAGCATCATCGTGATATTCAGACCAGTCAAGTTCAGCAAGCTGCACATAATGGAACAATGGCACCTTCATAAGTAAAATTACATACCTAAGACTCAGCGCCTTCCAGATGGAGCTTCTGTAGCTAACGTAGAAAGTTGCTATGCATCTCCAAATAATTTATTTCAGCTCTAGGTCAGCTGAAACATTTAAATGTTTAGGCAGTCCGTTACCATTCGACAAGATACACAAAGCTGATATACTCTGCCACTCAGGTGCCCTAGTTTACAAGGGTTAAATTGACTTACTCATTCCTAAATCTGGGTACCATTCTAAAGACACTAAACCTAAACCTGTCATAACTGCTAACTGATGAACTTGTCATAACTGATAACTGATCTCCCGCTATTTAGATTCTGAACATGGAACACTGGCAGTCTGAAACTCTGGCTTGCTACTAAACCAAAGCTTAACACTTCTGAAAGTATGACCCCCCCAAAAATAATAAAAAATATTCAAGAGATAGATATAATCTCAATTTCGTTCAATAATTTCACCAGGTGAGGTTATTTCTCACTGCTCTTTAAGAAAAAAAAAAAAAAAATTATATGCTTATAGTTACTCTGAACGTATCATTGAATGGCTTACTAGGACAAATAATTCCACTGATTCCACTGTGCACAGTAACCAAAATGAATTCTTTTACTTCACACTCTTATTTATGTGAATGGCTCTCATCCTTTGACCTCCTGCCTAACCCCACACTGGAAATGCACTTATGCAATACAATTCACATTTTGTTAGGTCTTATTCCAGAAAGCAAATCCTTATTCAGGCTGTAGTTGAGGCATCAGTGGGTCTTCTGTCCCAGGACTAAGTTTCTGTGGCTGTTATATTGACTTGTCTATTCTATGAACTTTTTAAGAAATCTGACTGAACATGCTCACAAACAGCCAAAAAATTTTGACAAATTCAGATATTTAAAGCTGGAAGAAACCATTGTGAGTATCCATTTCATCTGACCCTTTGAATTTCCCCAACTGTTGGCTTTCAACAGCCCCATAATTTCTACTGAAGATAAAACATATATTTTGGGAAGTCATTTGATCTTGATTGAATGCTTCCAGTGCAGGAAAATCCACTGAACCAAAAGATAAATTCCAGTGTTTAATTACTATTTTCTCTTAAATTTTTGATTTTCAGGAAAAAAAAAAAAAGAAAAAAAAAAACTTAAAAACCTTTTACAAATGAAGACAAGTAAAAGTTCTTTAAGTGTTGTCGCGTCCACGGTAGAGAAGAATCATACAAAGTAATAGAATTGTTCAGACTGTATTTCCCTCCTTAAAACTGTAACCTCTAAGCAAAATTTGAAAATACGTTAAAAGAGAAGAAAGCCAAATAAACTATTCAGTGACATTCTGATTGTAATATCCAGTAAAAATACTCACGTGTATGTAGTTTTAAAAACTAGAATTAACTCAAAATTTAAAAATCATTAATTTATGAGCCATAAAATCCCTCAACACTAGGTGTTGCCATGCTGGAAGAAGAGAGACTTCTTCGATTTACTACTTTGAGGTTTTTCATCAATATTTCTTATTTCATTAAAAATTCTATCCCACTTCTGATTGTGTTTAAGACCTTGACATCAAGGTTTTTCATAAGATTTTTGGCATATCTAAGGACAGACTTAGAGCCACAAAATGATTCAGGTTTGAAGGGACCTTAAGAACCAACCATTAGCAGGGGCACCTTCCATTTGGTCATGTTACTCAAAGTACCACCACAAAATAATAGAAGGGACCTTTGAAGGTCATCAAGTCCAACTCCCCTGCTATGATCAGGAACACTGACAGATAAATCAGGTTGCCCAAAGCCTCATGCAGCCCAGCCTTGAAAGCCTCCAGGGACAGAGTAGCCACCACATCTCTGGGTAACCTGTTCCAGTACCTCACCACCCCCACTGTAAAAGGCTTTTTCCTAACCTAAATCTAAAAAATCCAATCTGGCCTTGAACATCTCCATAGTCAGGGCAGCCAAAGCTCCTCTGAGTAACCTATTCCAGTGCACATCAATTTGAACCACTAACTGCTTTTTCTGACCAAACCAGCCATAACAGAGAATGACTCCAAAACAGCTAAAATCAGAACATAATAATCCCTTACCATTCCAGTCAACACATGCATCTCTTTCAGTACTCACACCGTATAAGCTCCATACCTTCAGTCAGCCATTCGGCCCTTCCTATGCCTTTTCCAGTTCTACCACATTGTTTCTGAGACAAGAGACCAGCACTATATATGCACTAGAGAATTACACCATAACATAATGATGTGCTCTTCTGTCATTTTCCACATAATTTCTCAATTTCACAATATGAATGTGAAAGTTGACAAATACATTTATTTTTAACATGGAAGCAATGGCCTACTGATTAGGAGTTCATTTATCATCTCCACACGTGTGGAGCCAGTTGGCAAAGCCAAACTGATTGGCTGCACATGAAGATTAAAACCTGGTACCTTTTCCAAACCATCATAGAGTGTGACCACATATTTTTGTTATGTCATATTATAGACATTCTCCTCTTTTTAGGACAGTGTCAGAATTTGGAAAAGCTAGCAACAGAATAAGTCACTCTGTGCTATACAGAACAAGCGTAGCAAAAAATACTGACTTAACAGCTGCTCTTAATGAGCTTTGAAAGAAGAATTAGATGGATTCCTCATCAACAAAGAATTCCATGAGTGGAAAACAAAAAAACCCCAACAACAACAGCAACAAACAAAACAAAAGCCTCACCATTCTCTTCAAACAATGCATTTGACAGATTTTTTTGTTATTATTATTACTATTCACCTATCAAGAGATTTCAAAATAATGAAACTAAATCTGCTATTATGATATTTGTCTATGCCAAGAGCAACAAGTTAAAGAAGAAAAGATTCAATTCTGCACAGAAGATTCCCCCC